TAATAATTCAACTACGTTTGTTAAGAAGTGGGGTAAGGGTTCTAGATATCTAGAAATAATAATAAAAAAGCGTCAATTGTAATAAAAGCGTCAATTGTAATAAAAGCGTATGAAATTTAGTTTATTCCGGTCACTTTTTGCAAAGAAATGTCACCTGAACGATGCTATCATGAGTATCAAAGAAGAACAGAAACATTCGGTTATTATTTCACATATTCGATTTCACACAAATGAAATACCTTTTCTTCCTGATTTTTCTTAACTTATGTAAAATAATAATTCTCTCGATGACTTAAAAAACTATTTTGAAATCTGGTATTGAAAATATTTCTCTCCACACATATTACATAGATTTTGGCTTATAATGTGTTGCCTTCTTGCATAGGTGTAGTGTATGTGTTCAGTTAGAAGTATCAATTGTATAAGAAATATATTGTTTTGAATTTATTGTAATCTATTTACAGTGGAAAAAACTGTGTGTGACGGACGGTAATAAGTAACAAGTTCGCAAGTCACAAAAATCATTTGAAAATGTTGTTGTTGTTTTTTTAACAAAAACGCTCAATTTACACGTTATCGGCTGCTTGTAAGTTCAAGTTGCAAAGATTTCAGTATGTACACATGTAAATGACATGTTTTACTCAAAACTAGCACTCCGTGTCCTAACACTATTTCAAATACTAGCTGAAATCCTTGACTTTGCAAGATATTTATTTATACTGGATTGATAGAAAGAAAATTATTTGTGATGGAAATAATAAAAAACTTGGGATCTCATGTTCAAAGCATAGGATGTGGTCGAAGAGTGAAAACTTACCGGATGATGGAAATGGGGAGATGTGGATGAATGAATTAGTAATAAGATGTCAAATACTGAGAGTAGAAAGCTAAGAAAAAAAGAAAAGGTAGATGCTAGGAGAGAATAGTAAAATTTAGAACTGTAATAGGAGTAAGACGAAGGATATATTGGAGTCTAGTGAAGACATGATTTGTAGGATATGTGAAAGGGAGGAAGCAAATAGGAGTCATATATTGGAAAGATATATTAATAATACGCGTCAGGAAATACATGATAAAGAGAAAATTTTTAGAATTAGGAAAGTGTGAAATGTAGATGATGGAACGGAAGATAAGAAGGAAAGTGAAGGAATTGGGAGGGAAACTATATTTGTAATTTAGGTTTAGTTTCGACTATTTGTAAAGTTGAATGTAATAGATGGTATTGGTTGTAATTATTATACATGTCAACCTTTTCTGCAGCTCTGAAAGTAGCAAAGTGTTTAAAGAAATTTATTGATTGATTGCGTTATACCATACTACTTAACTGCCCGGCATTACCAAGGTGTATTTTTCTCAATCATCTATTACACAGGAAAAGGAATGAGTTATGTCTGTTCTATTTTCAGACCCGGCCCGCCCCCCA